GCCTGGACCGTTTTGGTTTGCTTTCAGTTTGGCTGTAGTCTCTGTGAGGAGCTCCGTCTTCTGTCTGGGTGTCAGCTGCGCAACCAAGTTAACAATGAGGCAAAAAAAAGGATAAGTAGAGCAGGTGCTCTGTTCTTCTGGCAAGTGAATAAACATTCTCCCTGGGTAAGTGGATGTGCAGTCTTGGGGGTGTCATGGTTCTGGTGCAACACCAATCTATCAGATCAAGTGGATGAGAGAGAGTGTTAGCATGCATAGTAAAGGGAAGCTTGAAGCTCACTTTAGTTTTTATGTCCTCTGCTTTATTCTGTCTCTCTCTGACAAGCCACAGCTGGCGGTGGTCTGCATTGATGAGTTATTTGCAGCTAACGGACTAATGGTTAGAGATTAGAACTTGTGATTGGAAGGTTGCAGGTTTGAGTCCTTGCACAGACCGGGGTTGTTAGTAGGAATGAATAACAAGCACTCCTAACACCTTTAATACTTCTGATTAGGTGATTCCCTTAAGCAAGGCATCACTGCTGCAGCAATGGCACAAATTCTGAGTGTATATATAAAATCTAATTAATTGAGGTGTTTACATAAACTTTTTGAATCTGATTGAGCCAGCAATCCAATTGCACACATATTAGGCACATCTAAAAATAACCACTGGGTGCATTGGAGAAAGGAAACCTCCAGTGAGTAATGTTAATCAGTGATGGGTCGTTCTCGAACGATTTGTTCATTCACACATGTGCACATTTGTGCAGGTGTGGTAGAAATTAGTTTTTCAAGTCTTCTATCGGTTTGAGTCATTGGTTCATCACGTGAAAGACACGTCAATCGTGATCAATTCTAGCCTGAACCAGATTTCATCTGTTTTGAGTAATCACTTTATATGCTGTCACGTGATGAACAAACTACTCAAAAGATGAACTATTCATGGGTCCTTTCTTTAGTTAAGAATATATGAGACTGTCAATGTGATGTGATCGAACAACTTAAATTTGAAGACATGTCACAAAGGTGAGCTGAGCTAATTATAGACAAAAGACCAGGGGCCTCGTGTATCAACGCTGCGTACGCACAAAAACTTTGTGTACGCCAGGTTTCACGCTCAGAATCGCTCACGTTTGGATTTACTAACAATGAACTGAATGTGGGAATGTGCGCAGCTTCACGGCAGCTTTATGGCTGGCGTACGCACATTTTTTGTGCGTGTCTGTTTTATTTCCATTGGCGACTCCTAGAGGCAGTTGTGTTAAATTGCTCTCTACAAAGTGTCTGAGCCTTGCAATGGCAGCTGTATGAGACGGGTTCATCTAGCAGGTATATAAGGTTTCCATACCATACAGTTGACCAGCCAAACATTAAAGCACAATTTGCAGCGGTCGCCTGTTTTCCCAATGTAATCTGAGCGATCTACCGCACGCACATTGCTATAAAGACACTATCTGAAGATGAATTTGCATGCGTGAAACAGAACCATTTCCATTCAATAAATGTGCAAATAAAATATGATGCACAAACTTATTAATGATTCCTACTTGTCTTTCTCGTGATAAATAGTTGGCAATCTGATATGTAGCGGCGGAAAAAAGAAAGAGTTCATCTGATGCTGGATTCGAACCGAGTTCATGCTCGAACGTGTCAAAACATGTTGACATGCATTTTACGTGCTACGCCACTGACACTGTTAAGGGTACTGCAACATTTTACAGCTATAAATCACACTATTTCTTTCTTTAATTCACTCAGTGCGATGTTCAGACCCAACTGTGTTAACCGCATCAGCTAAACTCTCCCACTCTATTTTTTTCTTTTGTTGTTAATTCCGGAGAACAAACTTGCAAATAACACCGTGTTTCTCCGGTCTACCTCCGATAGCAGCACCTCCAATTCACATTCTGTTCAAAGTTTCTCTTTTTGCTTGCTTTTGCCATTGCTTTTTCGTTGGGTTTTGCCAAAGTAGAGTCATTGGCATATTCATACGGGGGAGGAGGCAGGGAGAGGTTTTGTACTCGTGCATGTTGCGCTCAGTTGCACGTTCATTCAGATGTACAAAAGAATATTTACATATCATACATCTGATTTTTTTTCTGCGTACGCACATTTACATCTTTGTGCGTACGCAATGTTTTAGTATGATTTCCACGCAAGTCTTCGTACATGAGGCCCCTGGTTAGCAATTATTGATTGTGTTTTCTCTTTCTTACAGCATTCTTGTTATGTTATGTTATGTGCTTTTTTGTAGTGTGATCAATGTTTAGGCTTGTTGTAGATGTTTTTAGAAGCTACTCTTAACATTTTATTGAACAAAATGACTCAAAGATTTGTTCTGTAAAATGATCTGAACTCTCCATCACTAATGTTAATAGCAGTTTATTTTCTAATACACTATGTATTTGACAAGTCAAACCCTGTCTGAGCCAAATGACTAATCCAAGCAGAGCAGGTTCATGTAAAGAAAAGTCTCTTTAAATTGCTCATTTGAGACTGAGATAATGGACATGATTTTTGACTTCGGGTTTATGTAGATTTGTTGTGCAATATCCTGCCTAAAATTCATGTTTATACGGTTATAAACACTTTGTTTTGTTTGGTGCCACAGCCAGTAACTTGTCAAATGTGACATTTGTGCTTGTTCAATTTTAACACTGATAAATAAATTTTCTCTTTTTTATTTTATTTTATTTATTTTTTTATTTTACATTTTTAATTTTTATATTCCAAAGCCTTAATGTCATGTGTATGTTTTAAATCAGGGGCCGCGCTGCAGTCTGGAAAGGTTGACCAACGTGTGCAACTCGCCCACAGCCTCTGGAACATGTGTGCCACAGCACTACGCCACCATGGGAAGCTTCGACACAATCATGGCCCGGCTGTCAGAGCGCCACCCAAACGTTGCCCGGCAGAGGATCGTAGATGCCCTGCTGGAATTGCGGGCCAAACATCAGGGCTTTCTCAGTGGTCTTCCGTTGAGATCTATTGTAGATATGACCTCTGAGCTTCTCACACAGACCTCCAGTTCCGCTCGTGTTTGAGTTTGTGGTATTTTAAGCAAGTTAAAGGGATAGTTCACCCAAAAATTTACATTTTATTTTTAATTGTTTCTAAATTGAGATATTTTGAAGAATTCTGGAAACCAGTAGCCAATGATTGGGTAGGAAAAATATTATGGAAGTTGATGGCTACTGGTTTCCAACATTCTTCCTTTGTTTGTTCCTTTGGCCTTGTAAATAGTTCCCTCGCCAGTTATATTTTTGCAGGTAACTTTAGTGCTACGTTCAACCATTTCGTTGTAGTTCTTGTTCATGACACTTCCTTCACAGAGTGAACTCTGACCTTAGGCAATGTTGGAATTAATGAGAAAGTTGTTACATTTATTTCAGATTTCCAACTTTGATATAACAGCATTTTTGAGTTACCCTTGTGTTTCCTAAATAAAACTGTTTTCTTGTGCTCTCTGTAGAGGAGGGAACTGCTTTTTTTATCATTGTAGTCCACTCAGGTAAAACCAGAATGGGCTTCTTGATAACGGCACAGCTCTGTAAAACAGGTGGTGATGTAATCAGTGAAGGTCACATGACTGATGAATCCATCCCCACGAACATCAAGTCAGATCTTAAAGTACTAAAGTTTTAATATTCTACTGACTTGTCGAAAATATTTATACAATACTTGAAATTAAATGACAAAACATTAAAATTAACTATTTTTTTAATATGACAATCAGTTTGTGTGTATATATGTGCTTAATATTAAACTACTCTGACCCAAACTGAACTTTAACACTGAAAACTGAACTAACACTTTAAATTTACTGTAATCTTCCATGTGAAGCTGCTTTGACACAAACTACATTGTAAAAGCGCCATAGAAATAAAGGTAAGTAAATATGAAATTAAAGCTGAATTGGTTTTTCTGCTACAGAACTGTGTTGGTTAGTAGGGCCAACTATAAAAAGTGTAAAAGTTCACTCTAATCTTTCCTCATTTGAGGTTCATATAGAGGACAATTTAAATAAACTTTGAATTCACAGAATTTTAATTTCTCTGTATTTTAACACAGCATAATGCTAGTTTCTTTTTTGTGTTTGATATGTCAGGGAACAGAAACATTGACGTTCATGGTTTTCTTTGTGGAGTGAAATATATCTATATCTATATATATATATATATATATATATATATATATATATTTATATATGTGTGTGTGTATATAAAAAATGAAATTTTCACAGAATGTCTGATATTTTTTTTCAGGAGAAAGTCTTGTTCGTTTCATTTCGTCTAGAATAAAAGCAGTTTTTAATTATAAAACACATTTTAAGGTCAATAAAATTAGCCCCTTTAAGCTATGTTTTTTTTTTTCGATAGTCTACAGAATAAACCATCATTATACAATAACTTGCCTAATTACCTTAATCTGCTTAAGTAACCTAATGAGGTTATTTAAGGCTTTAAATGTCTCTTTAAGCTGTATAGAAAGGTCTTGAAAAATATTAAGTCAAATATTATTTACGGTCATGGCAAATTTAAATAGAACGGTTATTAGAAATGAGTTATTAAAACTATGGTTAAAAGTGTTGAAAAATCTCTCCGTTACTATAAATTGGCGGGAAAAACAAGGGGGCTAATTCTGACTTTAAATGTATGTGTGTGTATATATAGATATATAGAGAGAGCAAGCAGAACATTCAGAGATGACTTTAGGAAAATTGTGAATTACATTTAAAGTAATAAAACAAAAATAGAAAGCAAGATAAAACTACAGGGCCCACGAAAAAGAAATAGACTTATTTGTGGACTATTATTTCCCACCTTGCAAAGAGAAGCCCCGCCCTTCGTCTTATTGTTCTTTTGGATTGGTGAAGATATTTAAATGACCTGTTAACTGTTCAATCGGAGCATGTTTGAAAATCCCCATGCTAGCCAATCCCGATGCAACGGGCGGGGTTTGTTGGAAATCTGATTGGGGAAAAAAATAAACGTCCTGTCTTGTCTCCAATGGGCGGAGTTTAAAGTAATGTGAGGGACGCTGGCAGGACACTCGACTATTGAACTTCCAAGCTGAAAACAACCGGAGGAACGAGGAAAACAGCCTGTTCAAGAAGTTTGAAATGTTCGTGCAACTGAAGATTTAAAACCCAGTATGAATGCTGGGCAAGTTTCATTACAGCAGTGGACCTCGGACAGACAGCGACAGTAACTTCGAGTGTGTGGATTATTGTTACAGGATCACTCGGATTTCACTCATGTGTTTACAGTGCAGATTCGCGCACTGGACACTCACTTCAGTCATGTATGTGCCGCTGTGATTTGGGAAGGATGGACAAAGAGAAGACCTCAGTCACCCGCTGTGTAAAAAGCAAATATTTATAATAACTTAGTTTTATACTATTGTACAAAAGGAAAACTACGTTTGGCGCTGAACTGTGTTTGGACTTCGCAGGGAAGGATGTGGAAACTTTGCTCATCTACACGCCACCCGGCTCTTCTAGTTTGTATAGTTTTGGAAATATTTATTCACAGCGTCAAAGGTAAGCGCTGTGTTTGGTGAAAGAGTAATGTCTGACTTTTTACTTCTGTAAGACCTGCCTGATTTTGTTTAATATAGGTAACAATGTATGTTATGTTTTATGTTATGTGTATCGTTACTATAAAATGCAAGAAGTGGGCATTAATGATACTATGGTGAAGTTTGAAGTTAGGTCAGTGTTGTGGTGTGTAATAGTAAATGCTTTCCCTTCTTATATCTCCATTATTAGTGGAATGATTGGTCACTTTTAGTTCAAGTAATGTCGCCCTTGTATTTTTGTCCTGCTTCTTTCGTCTATAGATAAACTCTGTCATATGAATACATGTGCAAACTGAATACACGTACTTTCTGTTTTTTAGGTCTTAATGTTTGTATGAGCGGCAGCGCCACGTCTTGTGAAGAGTGTCTCCTCATTCACCCGAGCTGCGCCTGGTGCGCGCAAGAGGTACGCGCGTGCCACATTCCTGACAGACACTGTGATTGACAGTTAATGGGCCTTACTGCCTGCCTTTGCACTACACAACTTGACTTGTGCACTTTTCGTTTTTCCACACAAGTGTTTAAGTGTGTGTGAAGACTGCAAGTCTGTGTAGAACTTTGACTGAAGTGGCACAATTAAAATATCAGATTTGTAAATAAATAAATGTTCTCTAGAGACACATTTGTGGAGTTTACACATAGTTATAGTCTATTTTTCTGTTCAGTAGACACACTGAATGAGACAATTGTAGTTAAGCTATAAAAAGCAGTTGTAGTAATTTAACCGGTTTTCTTGACATCTCAAGGTTTCAGGGTTTGTGAGTTCTTTAGCTTTGAAGCTTAATAGTTTTGTGTTTCCTCAAATAGCCACTCTGAGGTGTTATTTGGGTTCATGTGAAATTTGTGTTAATATTAAAGGCACTGAGATTTGCCACTTTTTGTACTTGGCATAGTCTTGAACATTTACATCCTGTGTCAAACATACGCTATTAAGTACCTGAAGGCTACAAGTGTTGGCATTGGGAAAGCATGGCTTTGTCTCAAAACTCACTGAGACTCCAAAATAGTGCTGCAGGGATGATTTCAAAACCTGATATACTGATTCACAGCTGGTTACTGCGAGATGGATTGATGTCAGTCCTGCAGCACTACTTACAGGCACACTGCTATGTTTTTTGACGGATATAAAATGTGAAGGTGAAAAAAAAATAAATACTGTTTCAGCCCTTTTTCTTGTCAGGGCCTTTGAAATAAGTCTTACTTTCATCTTGTACCAATATAGAGCTTGTAATCTAGTTGTAGTCATCAAGTTTAACAGGCAGAAATGCTATTGTTTTATTTATTAATTTAATACACCCGAATAATCTGATGCTTCAGACAAGGGTGCATAATTTCTGTGCATTTGTAGCTTTGCTCATTCATTAAATGCTTTCTTGCATTGTTTAACCTGGTCATATTTTTTCTTGTCCTGATTCAGGACTTTGGACAGGCCAGAACACTTACCTCAAGATGTGACTTTAGCCAGAACTTACAGAAGAGGGGATGCGATGCACCATTTATAGAGAACCCGAGGAGTGGCAGCTCTGTGCTCCAGAGCAAACCCTTGAGCTACAAAGGGTCAGGAGTGACCCAGTATGATGTCATCCAGATATACCCACAGAAGATCTCTCTCAGCTTAAGGCCTGGTATGCATTTACAGATTGATTTGGAGAATAAAAACTCAATTTAGTCTGTTTGTAAATACATTAAACTTGCTTATAAAGACCACACTTCCTGCCCTCAGGTGACCAGGCGTCTTTTGAAGTCCAAGTGCGCCCTGTGGAAGACTATCCTGTTGATTTGTACTACCTCATGGACCTCTCGCTATCCATGAAGGACGATCTGGACACGATCCGCAACCTGGGCACCAAGCTGGCTGAAGAAATGAGGAAGCTCACGAGTAACTTTCGTCTTGGGTTTGGTTCCTTTGTGGACAAGAACATCTCACCCTTCTCCTACACTGCATCCAAGTACCAGGACAACCCATGCAATGGGTAAGAGTCCCATTTATACTATATATTAAGAAACGCTTTCATCATTCTCAACTATCACAAGTGGATGATACTAAATAAATACAGCTGTAAACCTGGTCTAAAGGTTTTTGCGACCACGTCCAGAGGTTTCATAGTATACAGACTCGTGGTCAAAAACTTTCAAAATCAAACATGGGAAGCCTCAAAATACTAATTAGATATGTTAATTGTTTAGACTCTCTACTGTTGATCAGATCACCGGCATTAACATGTGCTTGTTAATGCCAGGTGGAAACATGCTCTGACAGACCTGCGACGTCCTGTAAAGTCTTTGGAATGACTTGACACTTCAATACAAATGCTAAATATCTCTTACATCTTTTGGCTTTTAATACCCTTTGTTATGCAATGGCAGGAACACAGCTAGTGAGAACAGACTTGCTACTTTCTCATCTAGGGGAAGTGAATGTGTCTTAATTTCTTCCCCTTGAGTTACTAAAATAGCCCTGCTTAAGTGTATCTTTGTCTTGAGGGAAACTACATCCCTGGAAATATATAAGCACTTGGCATGTCCCAATTATGGACTTGTTGTCTAATGTGTCAAAATAAATAGGCAAACGTAACCTTAAAAATGTAGTCCTGCTAATCACTGCTGGATGACATTCTGCTCAATGCACTATATTGTTTCTGTCTGTTTTGGAAAGTGTGGCAGTGCAGATTGAGGTTGAAACGTCAGCTCATGCCCAACAGATGCTATTACTGCATGTAGCCCAAAGCCCATCATGCATCAGTGACCATGTAGGTTATGCTCTTAGTCCTCTCAAATGCTCACTGTAACGCAACAGAAATCAGGACAAATCACAGATAATTTCCCATGTTCTGCCATCACTAGTCTTTCTTGCACTCAAAATATAAATTTGCTATGAGCAATATTTCATTTAATTTGAACATAATGCTTCAAATGTTGTTTATATAATCAGAGGTCACCACAGCGGAGTAAACCACTAACTTATCCAGCAAATGTTTTATGCAGCAGATGCTCTTCCAGCTGCAACCCTGCACTGGGAATATACTATTTATTTATTTATTTATTTATTTGTTTTTACTTTTTTGTGTGTATATATATATATATATATATATATATATATATATATATATATATATATATATATATATATATATATATATATATATATATAATTATTATTATGTTTTTTTTTGTAGGAATTGTAAAATAATTGAATAATTTTATTTGGGTATATTTTCAATTATAAAAAAATAATCAAGTGTAATGAAGCTTTAAATATTTTTTTACCCCATACCTTAGATTATGTTCTGTTTTGTACTCTTTTTTTTTTTTTTTCCACTGAGCAAAAAAATTACTACCGTTATACATTTTTTTATAGAAGATAGCTACTATAATGTTATTCAGTGTAATAAGTGTATACACCAAAAAATCTTGTCAGAACAAGAGTCGTGATTATGTATTAGAAGTAGTTTTTAAAATCACAGTGCAGTTTCAAAAGTCTGATTAACTCTCATTTGAAGAATTCATACTTTGCATTATTTTTCATTTAATAAACATTTAGTATGATAACTTTTTTTATTTGATACATATTTTGGTGTGTGCTTACTAAAATATTTTGACTTAATTTTTTCATAATAATGGCTTTTTATTAATGTATTGGTATATTAGTTTACCATTTTTACATTGTATTAACACAACAGCTATTTGAGACATCAGACACTTTACTTGAACCTAATATGCTTTCTTTTTACTGTAAAAAAAATTAATTAATTAAATTTAAATTGATGTGGATGTCAAAACAGGATGCCCATGTTAATAATTTGACCTATGTATAAAATATAAACTGACTTATCAATGACTACGTTTACATGGACCCCAATAATCAAATGATTTGCCTAAATCTGAATAAGACAATAATAGGATTTAGGTGTTTACATGAGTTGCTTTTTGATGTTCCTTTCAGGATCCCGTTTTACATGTTACAGCTCATAATTAGATTAACATTGCGTCACCACGATATCCACATTTCCAATTTGTCTACTTTAACTGCGGTTTGGGAGTCTTACTTTTATTCAGGAACATTTCATGCATGCCCCAATTACAAACGAGATATTGGATGCAAGTATGAACTGCTTGCAGAGTGTTGTTTTAATGGAATTTGATACTGCATGCTGAATGGGAAAAACCTCTGCATTTTGCGATACAGATGTCTGTAGTTCTTCACTGACTCGGTAGGTGCAGAGAATAGTGTCAAACAGCCGTGTGTATAGACCAGTGTTTCTCAACCACGTTTCTGGAGGCCCACCAACACTGCATGTTTTGGATGTCTCCTTAGTCTGTCACACCTATTACAGGTCTTTCAGTCTCTGCTAATAAGCTGATAATCTGAATCAAGTGTGTTTGGTTAAGGACACACGGAAAATGTGCAGAGCTGGTGGGCCTCCATGAATGTGGTTGAGAAACACTGGTATAGGCTATCCTGTCACAAAATGCGGAGAAAATCTTACACAATTGTAATAGTTTAAGATGTTTGCATGTCTGTACTGCACTTCAATAATGTGATTAAATTCGGCATACTCCATGTCTTAATTAGATTTCTTTTTAGTTTGATTATGACCTTAGTCGGAATAAATTATTTAAAAACGCTGTTTACATGGTAGACTTTTTATCAGAATTGTCTTAATCATATTAAAATTGGATTAAGGGTGTCCATGTAAATGTACTAAATGAGATATTAAATTGATTATTTAATGCATTTCATTAAGTCCATTTCAACCTGCTTTTATCTGTATACAGTATATACATGCTAACAGTGTAGTATTGATCTGTTATACATCAGTGTTGTGATATGAGGGAACATTTTCATTATTGCTTTATTTAATCTTCTGGTGTTTATGATTCCTCTTTTCCTGCAGATATAAATTGTTCCCAAACTGCGTCCCAACATTTGGCTTTCGTCACCTCTTGTCTCTTACGGACAAGGTTGATCGTTTCAATGAAGAAGTGCAGAAGCAGATGGTTTCGAGAAACAGGGACGCGCCAGAGGGAGGGTTTGATGCCATTCTTCAGGCTGCAGTTTGCAGGGTAAGCAATCAGTCAAGACTGGTCATTTTGCTGCTTCATCACTAAACATCTTTCACTCCTTCAGCTCCCTAAAGTGAAGTGCAAAAAGAGAGTGTCTTGTGGAACATCAGATATCCTTTTATGTGCTGCGCTGTGTGATTTTTCTCTGAAGGGATACAGGTGTCTGAGTCTTAAAAGAGACATGCATTGAATGACATCATTGGCTGTTAAAATATTTACTTTAGCTTGAAAGGTACAATCACAGCATGCATGAGAAGAGGAGATTGTGTGGTTTATACTCAATAAGAGAGGAGAGTCTTGCCTGTTTATTCACTATGCAGAACATGTTTGCAAGATAATTGTGTTAATATATGTTTCATCCCTTTGACTGCCTGCTTTACCAAATGGTTGACGGTATTTTGATTGTTTGACTGTTTTAAGTAATGGTTTACACACAGCAATGTTTGTTTACAAAAAATCCAACAGACATAATCCAAAACATAATCCAAAACATAATCCATTATCAAAAATAATTAAACATAATATATATATGTGTGTGTGTGTGTATGTATGTATGTATATATATATATATATATATATATATATGTATGTATGTATGTATGTATGTATGTATGTATGTATGTATGTATGTATGTATGTATGTATGTATGTATGTATGTATGTATGTATGTATGTGTATATATATATATATATATATATATATTTATAAATATAAATAAATATATAAAATTAAAAGAAGGCATGTTAAATAAGAATCTAAAATATCTTTATGGCATACTTCAAAAAAGATAATTTGGTGTTCAAAAATGTTTTATTTTGATTATGTCTTTAAATAAATTGGTCTAACGCTTCATATTTGTGTTACGTGTGTTATCTAGCGACATTAGAAGTTAAATGCGATCCAAAAAAAAAACTTTTTGGTGGGGCAGTTGAAGGGTTATTATATAAACGTCTTGTGAGATCTTTCAAATTTCAAATAAATGTATTTTAAGGATTATTATTTTCCAGAATATGGCAATCGGTCATAATAGCAAATGTTTTAATGTGTTGAAATTGAACATTAAAAACACATGTGACAAAATATAGTTTTTTTACCTCATCTAAATGAATATAAGCAAGTCTGAAACATGGCACCTTTTTAGCGATTTTGACCAATTGGCAGTTTATTCTCTGGATGAGTATAAAATGAGAATTTCCATGTGGTCTCTAAAGCCACGGTCACACTGCGCTTTTCTCCTCATTAACCTCCATTCATACACGTGAAAATTCGACAGACAAGGGGCCTCATGTACAAAGACTTGGGTTGAATTAATACTAAAACATTGCATAAGGACGAAGCTGTAAATGTGCGTACACTGTAAAGAAATCAGATGTATGAAATGCGCAAATCCTCCCTGCCTCATCCCCCGTATAAATACAGTAATGACTCCACTTTGGGCAAAACCAAACGAAAAGCAATGGCAAAAGTAAGCAAAAAGAGAAACTTCACAGAATGAATTGAAGGTGCTCCAATCGGAGGTAGACTGGAGAAAAACGGTGTTATTTGCAAGTTTGTCCTCCGGAATTAACAACAAAAGAAAAAAAATGGAGTAAGAGTGTTTAGCTGACGCGGTTAACGCAGTGCGGTCTGAACATTGCACTGTGAGTGAATTAAAAAAAAAAAAGATCCAATGTAAAGGTGCAGGTTAAGAGGAGAACAGCGGCACACCGTCAAAGTGTGGATCGAACAGGCTCGGGAACAGAGGTTGCTGAACTAACACCCTTTGAGGTGAGAGTTGCCTCAATTGTGGGCGACACTCTACTGTCAGGAGTCATATCCGTGTCTATGGGAGACGCAGATGTGTTAGAGGAACACTTTGTTAGGGCGGAGACCCTTCTGCTCTTATCAAGGCAGCGCCACTGATCAGCTGCCCAATCGCCCGTTCTACAACTGAGTGCCTGCCACCTTGTAGCCTCATGCCAACCATGGGGTTTGTGAGGATGAATTAATCATGAGTTGACCAAGGCCACCTTGCTACAATATTTGTTAAGCGCATTTGAGCATCACATATTATTTGCACATTTATTGAATGGAAATGTTTCTGATTCACGTATGCAAATTCGTCCTTAGATGGCGCATTTATAGCAATGTGCGTGCAGTCAATCGCTCCGATTACATTGGGAAAACTGGCAAACGCTGCAAATTGCGCTTTAATGTGGCTGGTCAACAATATGGTATGGAAACCTTATATACCTGCTAGATATTCGGATGATCCCGTCCCATACAGCTGCCATTGCACTGCTCAAAGATACTTTGTAGTGTGCAATTTAACATCATTGCCTCTAGGATTCCCCAATGAAAAAAACAAACACACACAAGCAATGTACATATGCCAGACATGAAGTTGGTGTGGACCAGCACACATTCTCACTTTAATTTCATCGTTAGTAACTCCAAACGTAAGTGTGAAATCTGGCATATATACAAAATTTTGCAAACTCAAACTCTAGTGTCACTGAAGCATAACATTTTGTGACTTGAGGAAGAATTTAAGGCCTTTGAAATGGATTTATATCCACATAACTTATCTAATCCATCGACTATAATAAAGCCTTGTTAGCTGCCAATGATTAACAAAACAAACAGCAACAACAACTTCAAATTGGAAGAATCAGACATTATAATTGTGATGTTTTATTTTTTCAGCTATATGTACAGTTTCACCAGATGACCTGAAAGCTCTTTTTGGAATTCATTCAGATTGATTGGGATGATTTAGCACACTCAATAAAATGACATTTGCTGCTTATTCAAACTACTTATTTAAAATGAACTGAAAAAACGCAATTCTTGAGGGATTTTTTTTGACAACTTAATTGCTTAAATCCAGTTACATTTTTAAAAAAAAATGATTTTAATAAGTTGAAGGAACTTAATTTCTTCATCTTGTCCCAACTCAAATTCATTGTGTGGAACCAAGCATTTTTTAGTGTAGTGGAGTAAATCATGCATAAAATATGATAAACAAATTACAAGCATACAGTTGTTAAACTTTCACAGTATGTCTGATAACATTTTTTTCTTCTGGACAAAGTCTTATTTGTTTTTTTTTCGGCTAGAATAAAAGCAGTTTTTAATTTTTAAGTACCATTTTAAGGTCAAAATTATTAATCCCTTGAAGCTATATATTTTGACGATAGTCTACAGAACAAAACATTGTCATACAATAACTTGGCTAATTACCCTAACCTGCCTATTTAACCTAATTAACCCAGTTAAGCCTTTAAATGTCACTATAAGCTGTATAGAAGTGTCTTGAAAAATATCTAGTCAAATACGAATCGAATTGAAAGTGAATTTTCAAATGTAAAACAACACTGTATAGTATTCATTGTATAAACAATTTGATCAAATTAATCTTTAAAAGGAAAGTTACAAATAGTGCAATCGTCGTCCTTCAATACTAAAACTCTTTCAAACACATGAGGATGATGAACTTTCACTCCATTATGGTTAAACACTGCAGTGACTCCACAACTCTCATTTTGTTCTGAATTGTGGTTCCTGTTCAACTGTAAATCCAACTCAGCATTGCACACCCCACCATTTGACTATTGTTGATGCACAAATTGAAATAACAGTGCTGAAAAGATATATTGTGCAGCCCTAACAAACCACAAATGAAAAACGCTAGGTGTGACATGATGTAGACTGCATGATGTAGGATGTAGACTATGAATCATAGTTTTGTCTCACTGTGACAGGAGAAGATTGGCTGGAGGAAGGAGGCCTATCATCTGCTGGTGTTTGCCACTGATGACGTCCCTCACTTGGCTTTGGATGGTAAACTCGGTGGACTGGTGCATCCTCATGACGGCCAGTGTCACCTGAATGACAAGAATGAGTACAGTGCTTCAACCAAGATGGTAAGTCTTTTATACCATAAAACTTTAACATCTTATTAGAACTGACTGTAAACTGAACCATGTTGACGTGAAGAATACATGTTTTTATTTTAAACTTTGCTTTGTCAAAGAACTGATTTTTTTTTTTGCAGACATGCTGCCTAATTTCTTGTTCTTTAGCTATAATTGCTTGAGGTTAACCAAAGATATTTACATTAGATGTCGCCTATGCTATTGTTGTCTATTGGAAAGAATGCGTCAATAGAGCTGCTATTTTAGTACAAGATATTCGTTATTAATACAGGAGCGACTGGTTTGTGAATAAATCCCTATTATGACCGACTCGTACACTAAGTCGACAATAATACAAGTGTCTGATACCGCAACATCTTGTTGTCACATTTCATTTACATTCTTAGCTGTTTTAATTCAACAAAACTAGTATACGCCTAGTATTCAGTGTGAGTTGGTGATGTAGTGACTGTATTATCATCAATAACGTTACTTGTTGAGTACAAAAGTTCGAAACATACAAAAACTTAAAAAAAAGTCCAGCATGTTCAGGTTGGCTTTAGTCTTGACTAGTGCAGTTGAATGACATTTGTCCTGGAAGGACTGTACAAATGTGACGGTTCTATTGACGCATGCTCGGGGTCCGTATGCGATATCTAGTGTATATATCTATGGAGGTTAACATAGAATGATTGCCTGAACCCAAGCAGGTTTGTGTTTGCTGTGCAGTTTTAGGAAACATTCAAAGACATTTGCAGATAATTCTGTTTTAATGGGAAGCTTTTGCGCACTTATTGTTTCCTCCTTTTACCATATGATACCTCTCGGATATTTCATAACTCTTTTGGCTTTGAACTGGAAAAAATGTTTTTCTATTTGTGTCAAAGTGCAAGAACAGATGTGGGCCTCGTCTCAGTAAGTTTGGGTTTCCTCCAGAACAGCTGAGCGTTTCGAGACAGAAATCACTCAGCCAGAAGGAAAACAAAACAAAAACAGTGTGCTCCTTCTACTGCTAACTGTGGTTTAGAATTTACGTATCCTTCATGGTTTTTAAGAAAAAGATCATCAAATGTTCTTAAAGGGATGATTCACCCAAAAATTAAAATTTACCTACCATTTTCTCTCTGTTTTTTATTATTTATGTTGAACATAAAAGACATTTTGAAACATTTTAGAAACCTGTAACCATTGACTTCTATAATAGGAAAAACAAATAATATGAAAGTCAATGATTACAGGTTTCTAACAACTTACAAAATATCTTCTTTTGTCTTCAACAGAGAAAAAAAAATCTAAATGGTTTGGGACAAGTGAAGGATGACTAAATGATGACAAATTTTGAGTTTTAGCTGAACTGTGCCTTTAACGCATCAATGAACGTTCATTAAAGAAAGAGTTTCTCATTCATGTTAGTAGCAGAGGATGCCTGTAGCTGTTTACACAGGAAATGGGTGGAAAGGATAACGGAAACAGTGGATGGGATTCAGAAGAGCGATGACTTCCTTTTGCAAACTTGTGATACAGGGACTGAATAATTACATGAATGTATCTTACTAATATATGAGCATGTGGTGTTTTTGTTTCTCCACAGGACTACCCTTCTCTAGCACTGCTTGGAGAAAAACTGGCTGAAAACAATATTTTCCTGATCTTCGCCGTTATAAAAAGACACTACGTTCTTTACAAGGTACCTATCAATCATCATCACCTATTCTGATTGATGTTGAGCTGTTTTTTTTTTTTTCTTTATTTATTTTATTAAGAAAACACTTTCTACAGGTGGTTTGTCAAACCCACTCACCTGTGTAAAGCACACTTAATTGCAAAATGTTTTGTTATTATTATTATTATTGTATTTAGTGTTCTCAAAGTCTTTTTAATCCTAGAACCTCACTGCGTTGATCCCTGGGACTACAGTGGAAATTTTGGACCAGGACTCCAAAAACATCATTCAACTAATTGTGAACGCCTACAATGTAAGTTTTTTTTTTTTTCATGACATTTTGTTCGGTTGTTGGATTTTTATAGCGCGCTGTTCGAAACACAGGTGCACATAAAAGAAAACAGGCCTTTGCTGACCCCCAAAGTGACCTCTTCATGCTTTTGTGCCTTGTAAAGTGTGCACCTTGAAGTTCAAGGTTTAAGCTGTGATGTATAGTGACAGGCCATTATAAACGCACTGTTCATTTTCAGGCGATGTGGTCAACACACCTTATGGTCATGCAATCGTTTGATCAACACATTACAGCTCAGTATTACGTAACTATAACTGCTTGTGTTTTCCATAGAGATTGACTTTAGTTTAATTGGCAACCAAATGGTTTGCCACTATTTCTGTAGCTAATAAATGACTGATTAATTGAATTCAGAACAGATAAGTTTGAATATGGAAAGTTTTCACTCTGGGATCATATGATTGCATAAGATAAGGTATTTCCTGTTTTTGTTATTGCAGAACATTTGATGGGCTTGTCCAAGTGTTTGCTTATGCTCAGTAGGCTTTGTAGTCTGGTATTTCTGGCTTTTGTAGCTGTATTGGAGAATCTCTGCTGTGGTCCGGCAAACGGCCTCCAATGGAAAGATGTTCTTTAGCTTGAAACGGCATAAAAATAATAATTCCTTAAGCACTGTATTGTACATAATCTACGGTTAAGTAAATAAAGCATAATTATAAAATCAAGCTTAAGTTATATACCACTGTTCTTTCAGAAGTTTAGCGTGATTTTTAAAATGTATTTATTATTTAATGTAATTTTTATTTTATTCATTGTTTTATTTGTTCATTTATTGTTTGTTTGTTTATTTATTTATTTTATTTTGTATTTGTTTATTAAATTTTATTTATATATATATATATATATATATTTTATTTGTTTATTTTTTGTTTTTTAATTGTTTTAATTATTTTTTTATTTGTTTTATTTATTTATTAATTTACTTGCTTTTTTTTTTTTTTTTTAAATGTGATAACATTGGCCAACAGTTCCAGTAAATTAATTTGAACTTTTAGCAATTGCTAATACCATATCATAGTTTCTGCAAAATATATTAGTAATATATTAATATATAGTAATATTAATGTTTAATATTAATATATATTAGAAAAGTTTCTTTAAAAATCATAATAATATGCTCTTTAAGGATCAATTGACTCTAAAAGACTGGAGTAATTGTGCTGGAAATTCAACTTTGTGAACACGAGCAAATAGAATGTGAAATAATTGTAATTTTAAAATTGTAATTATATTTCACAATTTTACTGTGTTTATCAAGTAAATACAGTCTTGGGAAGACTTGAATACTTTTTTAAAAGTGTAAAATAATCTTACTGACCCTAAACTCTTGAACTGTGGAATTATTCCTTACTGGACATCTGCCTTGAGGTCTTGCAAACACAATTAACTGTCACGAGAAATGGCATCATAAGACGTCTCTGTTAAAAAAAGAATCGGGATTTCCACAAAGGTTTTGAAGAATAATTAAATAATCAGTTTAAAACATAACTAGAGACAAGCATAACAAAATATCAAGCTAGTTTTTTTTTTATGTCCTAGTTACTCACTTGACTCAGTTTACACCAGTATATGCCAAAATGCTGAAGGCTATGATTACTGTCAGGGAAATAATCTATTTTGGTGTTGTTTTCAGTACAGTCCGAGAATATGTTTGTGGTTTTACTTGGAACACCTCCATTAACTTTTAAAACTGTTTTAGTGAATGTTAGATACTTTGTGTTTGATTTTGGTTTTATTTTGCTTTTGTGTAGAACATAAGGTCAAAAGTTGAGCTGAGCGTGTGGGATCATCCTGAAGATCTCAGTCTGGCCTTCTCCGCTACCTGTCAAGATGGACAGCCCCTGACCGGTCTCCGCAAGTGCGCCGACCTCAAAATTGGTGACACTGTTAGTACTTTACACTTTACTACACAATGTGCCTTTTCAAATGGGTTAAAAGGGAGCAAAGCTGATCCTGTCTCTCAGTCTGCAACCTGAGTGTTTGATGTGTTGTCTGGCAAGAATCTGGACTCTTATTTATACTTCTTGGATTGAACACAGTGAGCTGTAGCTAGATGCTTTATACTGCTAAAAGGAACTGGTAAATCTATAAGAAAGCAAGTCAGCGCCTCTATCTCCTCCGCAAATTTAGAAGTTTTAATGTTAGTACACAGACTTTAAACTTGGCATATAGATCACTTATAGGGAGTGTTCTCACATATAATATTGTTTCATGGTTTGGTAACACAACACTTAAACAGAAAAAGAAATTAGCGCAAATTATCAATCAGGCAAATAAGATAACTGGTCACAAACAGCATTCATTGCAGATTTTATTTGACTCTTTTATGGAAAAAAGAGCAGTTGTGATTTTTAAAGATAATACACATCCCCTTCACTCAGCATTTGAATTGCTACCATCAGGACGCAGGTTTAGAATTCCTAAAGCACAAAGAAATGCCTATAAAAAGTCATTTATCCCAATGGCAGTTGTTGTCCTAAACAAAAGTTGTTGCCCCAGTTCAATGTTTGTAGGTGAATGAGGTGGTTACCAAGTATGATTTGCAGTATTGTGCATGGGGCTAATTTGGTTTTTGAACTTTTAACTTATGTTGTTGTGTTGATAAGTGTTATTGTGTCGTTGTTGTATGTTTGTAATTGTTTTCCTAAATCCAGTGTTGAAGAAAAATTTCCTTTCTGTGTCAAGCAGAGCGGACAATAACGTTTAAACAAACATAAATGCCATAGACTTAAAGGGATAGTTCACCCAAAAAATAAAGGGTCAGTAAATTGAGGGTTAGTAAATGTTGAGTAAATCTTTTGGTGAACGATCTAGAAAAGTGCCATATAGGTTTAAAAACACATATTACTGTTTACAGATCACATTTTTACAAATTATAGAAAAACAATGAAACTTTCTACCACTCATTTGTCCTTGTTGACCTGTATGTACTGCCCTGGAAGTGAAAGCAACCTATTTTCTTTCAACTTCTCTTAGGAAGTGAAAGAGAGTGACAGGGAAATGCTGCAAAACACAGTAATTGGAAAGAATATGAGATGTTTATTTCAGAGCGTGACTTTGTTTATTTATTTTTTTGGTTTGTTTGTTTTTTCATTGTAACTCAGTGCATTTGGTAATTGCTGCAATCATAAATTTGGTTTTATTATTACCAGAGGATCTAGAGCTCTATCATACAGTGCAATAAAGCGCAAGTCATGCATGGTGTTTCAGAATAGCGTAAGAGTAATTTTCACATTTTGCGCAATGTTGTGGACTCATTGGTGTTCCGGTCTAAAAAGGAGGTGTGTTAAGGTGCATTGTTTTCTCATTGCTATTTTGAAGAACTGAAATAGACTGTGCCATTGACCAACCAATAGCTGGACTAAACTGCTTTGGGTCAAAACCTGTCAAATTTTTTAGACGTTTGCGTCACTAAATGGGGCATAAGAATGGGACGTGAGTTTTGGACGTTTCTCTGATCACACTTATTATTGTTAATTTATTCGTTTATTGGAAACATTGTGACTAGATCGTTAAAAATAGAGCCCCTAATGTTAAAGACAGAAATACCTTTTTAGAACCAAAGTCATCACTGACATTATTATTATATACATTTCTAATATTCTCATCACACACATTCCGAGTCAGGCCATTCATAATTGACATTAGTAATGTAGTCATTTGTGTGTTTGCAAACGATGCTGCAATACTGACGCACATTTGTAGGTATATTGTTTGGCCAGTGTGTTTAGATAATGTACCATTTGCTCTGATAACATTCAGGATTTGAGTAACATGCTTTGTTTTAAACTCTCAGGCTATTATGCTTTGCAGCCACTCACTCCCTGTGTAGAGTGAAATAGATGAAATGGCCCTCTCGAATGGATTTGGGAGCTAAAAATATTGCAGTAACATAAGCCGCATTTACACTGCACTGTTCAAGTGACTCAATTCCAAAAATTATTATTATTTTTATTTTCTCCCATGAGGCACAGATCGGATATGGTCCATGTACGTGTAAGCAGGAACAAATCACATGAAATCCGATTTACTCAAATAAGATTCAGGCCTTGTTCATATGTGGAAATCTATCCGATATGAATTGGATCTGTGTTTTCGTGTCTGCAGTGTAAGCGGATAGATCGGATTTTCACCTGTTAATGCAAGTCGCGCTTCATTAAAAACCATAGCGAATGACGCCAAGTCTGACACTTTCATTTCAGTACAGACTTCAGCAGAGTCCCAAACTTTAAATATCACACACGAGGACTTAAATAGCTTTTATATTGTCAAATAGCACAGGTGTTTAAGCATGACGAGAGCGAGAGCGCAATGTCCGCCACATAACCAATATAAACTAATATAAAACTAGTCGCGTGCGTAAATCATGCCATGGACATTAAGTTAACATGCATAGGGCCCCATACACACTGGGTTTCAGCGTCAACGCTTGACTGAAGGCATGTCTGAAGTTGGAGCTGATGCCATCGCCAGATCAGTCAATGAAATTCAGTCAGCAATAGGCCACTGTCTGGCTGGTGTATTTGCATACAGCGATCTGATTGGCTGACGCTTACGTCGGCGCTTAAAGTTGAGCTAGTCCCAACTTCTGCAGCGAGCAACGCCTCTGAAGCGGCGCCGTTGGATCCACAATGCAATTCGGCAATGCCTGACGTCAACCATCAAAGTGAATGAGAAGCGTTGACACTGACACCCTGTGTGAACGGGGCGTAAAGGTTTAAAAAGGCCTAAATATCAAAAGAAGATGGACAAATGATAACCTTTTTGTCAAAAACTATAGTAAAACTGCTTGTCAACAGCTGTGAACAGATTACATACAGGAATAGAGAAAAGAGCACTCTTTAATTATCAGCTGGTTGTCAGCGCTCTTTTTTTTTTTTGTGTTGTTTATTTATTTCCCTGGTCATTGTGGCTTTGCCGTTTGCTGTGTAAATGCAGACATTCGGATACGAGTCACTTTTAAAAGATGATGTAAGCAGGTCATCAAAAAATCAGATACAATCACAAAATCGGAATTGACCATCAAAATCTGCCGTGTAAATGCAGCCATAAAGTGCAGATCACAGATTTTTAGCAGCAAGCTCTCAATTTGCATCCAAGAGCGCTTGTATCACTAATGGTTACTTTTTAAAAAAATGCTTTTGGTTTTTGGATTTTGTGGATTGTTGGAACTCTTTTACATTCTTAATTAGGCGAACATTGTAAAGCGTCTATAGGATTACTTGGTACATGTCACCATGCAGTGATCTGACCCCTGAGGATTCAACCAGAGCTCTTCAGTCTCTTTATTCTGCCTAACTGAATGTAGAGAAGGATCGTGACTGAGAGTGGAGGGGTGCAACTGAATACCCACAATGAATGGAGCAACCCAATTTTCTTTGGGCCAATCCAATAGGCCCAGGGTCTTTTTGTGTCCCAGCCATGAGGGAAATTTGCCACTGTGCCCAACTGCCAATCATTCCTTTAGAATGGAGGGCACAACCCAAACAGAATCCCATGTGTCACTCACGGTCCTCTGCCGAACCCTCGGAGGAGTTGGCGTTGCATTTAAATGGGCTCACACAATAGCAGAGGGTTCTTTCTGGGTGAGGAGCTGTGGAAAAACACAGGCCTTGGATAGAGAGGTACTAGCCCAGATTCTAAAGTTAAGCTAAGATTCCTTTCACAGACGCAGATTGAAGCCCCTAGAGACTACTAAAATGTCCCATACATAACACATTGATCTAATCCTATATTACGCTGGCTGGTCTCCCAGGAAACTGAGGACACTTTTGGATAGGACGTTTACTTTTGGATAGACTTTGTTTGCCAATAGATTTTTAAAGCTTTGCTCACTGCTGTTCAAATGCAATGCTTTTTTGTATAGCCAGGATCAGTGATGGTAAAATGATTGACATGCTAATATATTTAATGTTTTTAAATAATAATAATCAAATTAATTGTTATTATTATTAGCAATTAATATTTATTATTAATATTTATAATTTAATAGTGTATTCTGTTTATATTTTTATTGTAATTGGTATGGATATTTTAGTTTGTTTGTTTTATATTTTTTTGTTAGTAGTAATACTAATTTAGTATAGTGCAGCAGTAGTTACTGTTGTAGTAGCAGTAACAATAGTAGTAGTAGTAGTAGTAACAACAGTAGTAGCAGTAACAGTAGTAGTAACAGCAGTAAAAGTAGTTATAGTAGTAGTAACAACAGCAGCAGTAGTAACAATAACAGTAGTAGTAGTAACACCAGTTGTAGCATTACCAGTAACGGTAGCAGTAACAGTAGTAGTAACAACAGTATAAGAAGTAATAGTTGTAACAACACTAGTAGTAGTAACCGTGCCCAGTCAGTACCTAGATGGGAGACCACATGGGAAAGCTAGGTTGCTGCTGGAAGTGGTGTTAGTTAAGCCAGCAGGGGGCGCCCAACCTGCGGTCTGTGTCGGTCCTTATACCCCAGTATAGTGATGTGGACTCTATACTGCTCAGTGAGCACCATCTTTTGGATGAGACGTTAAAGCGAGGTCCTGACTCTTTGTGGTCGTTAAAAATCCCAGGATGTCCTACGAAAAAGAGTAGGGGTTTAACCCCGGCATCCTGGCCAAATCTCCCCACTGGCCTTTGTCCAACATGACCTTCTAACCATCCCTATATCATAATTGGCTGCATCACTCTGTCTCCTCTCTACCAATCCACTGGTGTGTGGTGTGCAGTCTGGCGCAAAATGGCTCCCGTCGCTTAATCCAGGTGGATGCTGCACACTGGTGGTGGATAAGCATATTCCCCCCTATGTGTAAAGAGCTTTGAGTGCCCGGAAAAGCGCTATATAAATTTAACGAATTATTATTATTATTATTATCATTATTATTATCATTATTATTATTATTATTAGTAGTAGTAGTAGTAACAAGAGTAATAGTAGTAGTAGTAATAACAGTATAAGTGGCAGTAGTAATAGTAGTAGTAACAACAGTACTAGTAGTAGTAGTAGTAGTAGTAGTAGTAATAGTAACATTAGTAGTAGTAACAACAGTAGTAGTAGTAACAGTAGTAGTGGTAGTAGTAGTAACAGTAGTAGCAGTAACAATGTAAGTAATAATAGTAGTAGTAACAACAGTAATAGTAGTAACAAGAGTAGTAGTAGTAGTAGTAGTTTTAGTAGTAACAACAGTGGTAGCAGTGGTAACAGTAGAAGTAGTAGTAGTAGTAGTAACAGTAATATTAACTGTGAAAACAAGCTACTTTCTTTCTGACTGATGCTTTAGCTTGTCACTATTTATTTAGGAACTCTGCTGCTCTCAAAGACAACTTCTTGCCAGTGAATGCCCATCTTTATGTAATGTTCACTCAACCTTTTCCTCTGACCAAATACAAAGACTTCAACCAACTATTGCAGTACCCTCGTGATCCACATATCTCCGTAATCTAATTCTGCCACTCGTTGCTTCATTCAGGACATACTACTTTCTTTACTCAATTTTGACCCCTCACTTTCCTGCTTTTTTGATGTCTATTTCAGCATGAACTTTATAGCAGCATGTTAACACGTAGTTAATCAAAAGTTGATATGTTTACACAAATAATTGTATACATTCGAAAGATAAAGTTGGTAAGATTTTCTTTCTGCTATTTTTGGAAGGAATGAACGTTTTTGCTTGTATTTCAATTGACCAAACATAACATTTAAGAATCTTATAATCTATTTTTATCTCCAATATATGATTAGAACAAAGCTCATCATGGATACAGAAAAAAAAAATCATGATTTCACGATAAGTTACTAAATAAATAAAATGGATATAATAACTAATTAATAAAAAATAGATTTTCACAGTAATAAATTATACAATTAATTCAAATTGAAAATCCTTCAAATCTATTTAAAAACGCGTGTGTATAATTCTTACAGTTACAGACCTCCAACTTGTTTTTTTTTATAACTTGTACACTTGCTTTGAATGAATCCAGCTAATAAATAATAGTAAATCTTGTAAAAATAACAACAACAGCAAAGCTGTATTCTGTTCATAAGTTAATCAAAATTATATCAGCATTTCACCTTCCAGTACTTCATAAGAACATTTTTCCATATAAATAATTTAATCCAAAAATGTAGACTGGTACAGAAATAGACATTTTGAATATTTGATGAATGATCTTGCTTGCCTTCCCTTTGCATCAAATCTGCCCTCCGTTCCTATTTTAACCTGGACATGTTTCCTCTTTAAGCTGTTACTTTGCTTTAAAGACAGACCAGCACTATCAAAGCACCAACTTCTTCATTAAAACAACTTTACTGACAGCTTTAGCCCTTTATTCTGACATGTGAGCCTCTGCTTTTCCTCCATCAGTATGACCCTCGGTGGCCCAGCGTTCGGCTCTCAGCTTTGAGCTCTCAGGTCTGGATAGGGCTCACTGATCTGAAACACTACATCAAAGTGTTCGGACTCGGCGTGTTGAGCATGTCTTCTCCCCTGGGCCGTTCCAAATCAGAGGCCAGCCAGACTACATGCTTTTGATGGTGTCAGGTTTTCTGCCCCTGAGGATCCACACATGAAGTTTGCTCACTTTTGGGAAAGATTCGATAAAGAAGTCTTAAAGGCGTTTTTTTGCACTGCGTGTTGCATAACTCAAGTGCTATTTGATAAAACTCAAAGAACGGCCCAACTGCATCTACATTTGAAAAAAAATATTTTCATCTTACTAGAAATCGATTGATGTAGATCAAACATAGGCTGGTAAGGCCTAGATGACGACTGTAATGTTTAGATTTCCTTCCTCTGGGTGGAGTCTGTTTTTCTTCTGTCTGCTCTGATGGTGGGTGATTAATCTGTCAAGAATGATCTACATCAGTAAAGCCTCTGTTTGTCATCAGCAGTAAGGTCATACATGGCACTGGGGGAACTGTTTTGGCATTTTTTAAAAGTCCTGCTACACTGTAAAAAAATTTAAGACAAATTAAGTACAAAAAACATTTAGTTGGGTTAGCATAACATTATTAGATTTAGAGGTGAACTACTCTAACATTTTTTCTTAAGTTGTGCCAACTGAATATTTTTGCCTGTAGAACTGAAAAGCCTAAAGTTGAGTAAACAAACAAACAAAAAAAAATCTGTTTCCTTTCATTTTTTCTCATAAACTCAACTTTTGAAAACATCCGTTACACTGACCTAAAATAGCTGAATTTACGTTAACAAAACGTTGTTTTTTTTTTTTACTTAATTTTTGAAAACATCGATTAAACTGATGTAAAATGTCTGAAGTTGAGTGAACAAAAAAACTGTTTTGGAAATTGGTACTAAGAAATAATACATTATCAGAACAACAAACAGTTCACTTGAAAAATAAAAACGGAAACAAATGTTAAAACATTTATTAGACACACTTAGAAACAGGACAGGGGCAAAGCAACATTAACGGTAAACAAGATAAGAAACAAACATTGCAGGACAAACAGGAAAAAATGCTTTGTAATGCTTCACAGAAAAAAAACAAGACTCAGCAATGAGTGTGTGTAAATAAGGGGTCTTTATATTCCTAGTAATCAGTCCGTCATGTGCTTCCAGCTCTGTGTGTAATCAGCAAATGGTTTCTCTATTTGAAGTATAGTTTGATATCATATTATATTATTTGAGCATTTGATTTGTCATTTGGGTAGTTGTTTTGAAAGTTACATTTATTATTTGAACTTTTTAGGCAAATTATTTTAATATTTAAAACAGATGAATACAAATTGTCAGTGTTTGTTTTTGCAGATGGAAGTAGTTGAATATGAGATGAAAATGTTTGTTTTTGTAGAGCGAAATAGGTAAATATCAGATGAAAATTCACATTAAAACTATTTCTGCAGCAGTGACCCCCCTCCCAACAAAAACAAAAAAAAAAAGATAAATTACAAATTAATAATAATTTCAAATTAAGTTAGCATTATTGCAGTACTATATTGTTGTTGCTAATAATAATGACATTAATGTTATTATTGGTGTTACTTTTATTTTTGTAGTTGTTGCTTGGGTTAGAAATACTGCAACCTTTATTTGAGATTAACTCTACTTAAAGTAACAAGTTGGCAGAAGAAAAGTTTTGCTCTCAAAACTAATATTTTTAGGTTAAGGTTTAGGATTTAGGTCAAGTAAACATGTTAAATGTAGTTGCACAGACATTTTTACTGATTTTTTTTCAAACCAACAAAAAAATAAGTAATTTCAACTTTTTTCAAGTTGGATTTTTTACAGCGTAGTTTTAAACCATTTTTTTATTTAAGTGCATGTGGTTCACACAAGCTTAGGACATTTTCATGTTTCATTCCAAACACTTGAGTAATGCCACATGAAGGTTTTTAAATGGGACTACAGTGGATGTCAGAAACATTAATATCTTCATGACTAGCTCAATGCACAGGACATTACTAATGTCTCATTTTGCTCTGGTGTGATCTTGATCTGCTATTCTTCAGGTCTTTTCCACAGGTCACTGACTCTACTGGTGTTTTGTTTAGTCATAACTGTGTTACCAAGGATTTTTCTACAGATTTTTAGTCCAGTTTAGATCAGGATTCTTGGCTGGCCATTTCATTTTTTTCAGCTTCAAGTTAATGCTTTTACGATTTTGCTGTCCACACAACATTCTTCTCAGCAAAAATTTGTCTAGCCTTTTGGTTCCTATTTCTGTTGAGAAGTTTGGTCCTTGCAAGCCTTTCAGTGCAAATAGCATACAGTGTCTTGACACGCAAGAGTGAGACAAACTTTTACATTTTTTCATCTACTGTTGAACCAAGTGGCCATTTAGATTCTCTGCATTTTCTTGTTCTTTTCTGCATATGCCTTTTGTGGATGACTAGCCTTTTTGGGTGGCAATGTTTTACATTTGGAACAACTGACCTTTCTTGCTGTGGCTGAAAGAATTATCCTTCTGGCTATCATCTAGATAACCTGCAGTCTAAAAAATTCAGTCACTTTTGAATGGCTTACTCTGATGCAAAGGCTATCAGTTAAAAAGGGTATGCTAGTTAAGGAATTTACCGCAATGTGCAAGACAACTAGAATGTATTTGAAAGTGCTCTTTAATATTAATCAGCCTTTTCAATTATTATTTTTTAAAAATCTCATTTAAGTGTTGTGTACTTGCTATAAACTGCTTTCTTACTCCTATTTCGATATCTTTAAATCTGACTTGGCAATGACTTTGAAAATTAAGAATATGTATGCTGTTCTCCAATATTGATCTTCCCTCCATAGTCTTTAAAGATAATAAGTAGTCTCATGTTCTTCTTGCAGGTCTCCTTCAATGTAACCGTAGACGCTCGAGGATGTCCTCCGAAAGGCACCAGGAAGAGTTTCACCATCAGGCCTGTTGGTTTTAAAGACCGTCTAGAGGTTTCTGTGGATTACCGCTGTGATTGCCGCTGCACGTATCACACAAAGCCGAACAGCAGCCGCTGCAACTCTGCTGGCACTTACAACTGTGGGTTGTGCCGCTGTGAGCCTGGGTATCTGGGAGCCCGCTGCGAGTGCCAGGAGGGTGAGGTGGACCACCAGCACCTCAGTGCCTGTCGAGAAGCAGAGGGCAAGCAGGTGTGCAGTGGTCGTGGAGAATGCAGCTGTAACCAGTGCCTGTGCTATGAGTCCGAGTTTGGCAAGATCTACGGCACCTTCTGCGAATGTGATGACTTCTCCTGTGCCAGACACAAGGGCATACTCTGCTCAGGTAAGATAAAATAATTCACTGGATGTCAAAAGGAATTTCAAAGGGTAAACTTTTGCATTCCAGTTCCACCCTGCTTTTCATTGTAAACAGACTGTGGATGTTAACGGTCCGTCTCCTAGTTCTAGTCTATGTCTCAAGGTATTCAGCTTATTTTGTATGCCCATGGGCCTCTTTAGGATGCAAGACTTGTGCCTGGTGCATTTTTGATCAGCTCTTGCCAGCGACCAGTTGGCTGGCACCCCATCTCTCCCTCTCCACTGGATGCATCTCTTCCATGTCACAGTGAAAGCTTTGTAGCAAACTGCATTTGTTTATCCATGCAAACAATGGCTGGTCTATGAGTAATAAAGCCCTGTGTTTCCTTTAGTCAGCAGGACCTGTGGGCCCAGAACAAAATGGACATTTGTTGAACCTCAATGACAATATGATTGGTAGAATCGAGAATTTGTCCCGTTTCTGTTATCTCAACCATGGACAGCTCTTCCTGTCCTCAGTAATGAGTCCTTAATGAATCTGAGCGATTGTGCTTCTTCACACCACTTTGCCATGGTGAGTTAACTGGGACAATTCTTGTAAACTCACCAATAATGGCTGTGGGAAAAGGCAACTGTTGATGAGATTTCTCTGTAGGTCTTGCTCACTTGTTAAATGCCTCATAAACCTGTTTTATGGCGTTTTGATGCACTGGTTAGAGCAGCTTGTTTTACAGATTTGGAGTAGCGAAACATTTGAGATGGAAAATAAATGAGGTACTCCTGGATTCCCATAGCTATCGTCTGTCAGGAGAACTCTGAAGCCTCTCTAATGGCCTGTTTCCACTGAGTGATACAGTAGGTACAGTTCACTTTTATGGCCGTTTTCACTGTCAAAAGGTACCTAAAAGCGAAGACCTTGTCGTACCACTTTTTGGGTACCCTTTCGAAAGAGTACCTAGCACAACAAAAGGGTACCAACAGGCGGAGACAGACACACAGCTGAATGCTATTGGTTTACAGGGATGCATAACTAGTATGTGTACAAGCCAGGAGAATGAAAACTTTTGTTCTGCCCAATCAGAATTGTGCAACCGAACTACACCAACAATAAGAAATAAAGAATAAAAAAACAAACAGGAAAGCGCTGACAAGTGGGATTATGGTGTCAGCCGTTTCAGAAGTATTAATAGACAAATTAATGTCAAAGAAAAACAGCATTTGTAATATGGGAATATTTAGGGTTTTAGAGACACTGAACAAAACCAGGTAATTTTTAAGAGCTGTCACATAATTATTGCCACAGCTTGCAGATTATTGAGCTGGAGCTTGACAACAAAATTAAATTGCTATCGCAATATCTGTCAAAAAAATCACGATTACATATTTTTCCGAAATCGCATGGCCCTATTTGAAATATATGTGCAATTTTTATCACATATAAAAAATGGATGCTTGTTGAGGTGTGGAAACTTTTTGTTTCATTTAACAGTAAAATCTCTCTCTTTCTATGAGCATATTTACTTTGTGTTGTGAATATCTGTGATAAAAGGAGGTGTGTATCGTAAGCATCAACCGGTTAAAAGGTCAAAAGGAAGCTGTGCTGAATAAGGTAAACATTTCTCTCAGTGCCAGAGTTTCCTTCTGTGTCACTTTATTACTGGGTCACTGGGTTTGGTGAGCGTGTCATGACTCCTGATGTCTGATTGGCTGTCGGCTCAGTCCTTTACAGCAGACAAGAATAAGCTGTTTTTCTGAAGATGAAGCTTTGTACCCCCCTTTGTAGACACATTCCATATATAGCTGTATGTAATAGTGGTTGCTTAAGGCTGTATTTAAAGAAACCATTAAAGCCATTTAAGTGTAAACATGGCTTTAAAATGACCATATGCACTCTTATTATTAAGCTAAGCAGTACTCCCTTGTTCATACACCTGGAGTCAACAAAGGTTTTTTTTAACCTCTTTGTTTGATAGAAGTGCTGTTGATAAGATTACAGCTGCTCATTTATTTGCACATCATAATCTACTCCTTGTTGATACAAAAACAGCGTTAGTAGCTAAATAAAGCTCAAATAATTCTCTAAAGTCCCCTCACAGCATTTTCCCCTATTTATGAGAAATTTGAAGTCCTTCCAAGCGTAATGTTATGTCAGCTAGTCATCATGGCAAGAATAATATTTCAGTGGGTGCTCAGAATCTACTTTTTAGGAACATTTGTTAAAGGAATTTGTTTTTCAGCAAAATATTCTCATTGATCAGTCAACATTCTCAGTCAGGTTTCCTAGAAACTTTTTAAAACTATTTTAAAATCGGTTTTAATATAGACAGCACATAGTTTCTGTACGCATGTAAATAGTTTAATGTGTCAGGAGTAATGATCACATTTTATATATGCCAATTCCATAATGAGATCTCTTTCTGTGTTTGCTGAATTGCAATTATTTTGTGACTACTATTATTGACTATAGTAATATAACAGTCTTCACAGATTGATTATGTTCTGCAGTTTTAGCTTAACCGCTGTTGACAGATCTGACATCTTTTGCTCCTGTTTTGAAGTGGTTGTCCACTATGATATCATATTTTAAGCTTTAGTTGATGTGTAAAGTAGCTGTGTGAACACAACATCTCTGAATGTAATGCTCTTAAAGTTCAATGCAAAGAGAGGCATTGGCCTTTTCAGAGTTAGCTTAGCAAAGCCTACAGCGAACAAAGCTTGGGGACTAGAAAAAAATGCATCCTAGTCAGTTAGATCACAAATGCTTTTAGATTATGTGTATTCACCCCGCGCATCGAAGGAGTGTGGCCAGAGGCACTGACTGTAATGTTATGGCAGACAAAGCTAAAATGCCATCCAAATGCTGCTATTTCCACAGAAATAGTTCAGTTTTTGTATTTGGGCTTCCAAATGGCATGACACAAGGAGTGAAGTGCTTATAATTTAATTTTAATTACGTTCCAGAAAATTATAAAAATATATATAGCTCTAGCATTTGACAAAGAACAGCTTCCAGATTCTTTTCCAGTTCAGTGCTGGATTCAGCTAAAAATTCCTCAAAGAAGGAGCAGCTCCAACCATAATAAAAGAAGCTGTAGATTGTATTTTTATTTGTAAAATTGATCTATTACATGCGCAGTGTTTACCGTTAATGGTACGTAGTAGTAAGGACATAAACAAGTATGTAAAAGGAAAATACTGTTTGGCTCGTTAACAATTTAGCTACAAATTCATATTTATCCATCAAACCACTGTAAACACTCACAGTCTTCACCAGCACTGCAGTGTCTCTCTATGAGGCCGCTTTCCCTGCATTCTACATCTCAAATAACAAACTATGTCTAATTCAGCCTCACACTGAAAAGACTGCTACACTGACTGACAGTATTTACACAGCGGAGGCACAGTGCGTGCTAGTGACTGAATATGACACTTCCTTGTGACATGGAGCCGATCCGAGATACACAGCACATTATGTTAGCTTACCAATCAGAGGCTCTTAAGGGTGGGCTTTTCAGAGGAACTTGGAAATAGTTATGCTGATACTGTAAACACTTATTCTCGTGCCCAACATTGTTCGCTAAGAAAAAATAAAAAGTTGAACGCTCTAAAATAGATGATCATTTAAATGATGATTTGACTGCGCGCTTGCATTCATGTTGTGGCTGCCTTAACCCTGAGAGAAAAAAAACCATACATGCAAATCAAACTTCCCACCCGGCTCCCAAACGATCACTCTGTGCAACAAACTGAACGTTATTTACAACTTCATTACCTGTTATCCACAGCCTATGCAGGTTCTGTTCACAAAGATAGACATGGTAGGCACGCGCATGTGTCCTCTCTGAGGCAAGCAAACAGATCAGATCATGTGTGATTTTGCGGCTACGAATACATCATTACATTAGGACAGAAATTATATTTTTGGGTGAATTAGACCTTCTAAATACAAAATGTAACACTCTTGACACCATTTGGCGGTGTTCTCGTTGCTGAGCAAGGTATATAAAACAATGTGAAGACTTGTGTGCCCACCTCTCTTGATTTTGAAAATATAATTGGCTGAATCATAGAAAAGCTAAATTAAGATCGCGATCTTTTTTCGAATAATCCTGCAGTCCTACTCTGGACCACCCCTATAAGGCTGTTTCACACAGCGGTGTCTTGTTGCCATGTCCAATTATTTTAACCAGTTTTGACTTGCCTTTGAACAGTTTGGTCTATAAATCAGTCAGTTTTGTGAAGTGATAAAAGTGGACGGGTGTGGATACCAATATCGTGGTCTTAATTTCCATATTCCGCTTTTGAAAATTTACTTTAGGAAATTAATTATTTTATTTGCCCCCTTTTTTTTTTTTACTTGAAGTCAAGACTGTGGTTCTTGCACTGCTAAAAAACTGCATACACAATGCTTTTAAATTAGTAGATAAATCTGATGTTGAATGCGGTTGTCACTTGAGTGAATTCCTGAACAATGTGTGTACAGGACAGCATGTATCGCTAAAAGATAAACTAACAGCAATATTTAACTGCAGTCAACAAAATAGTAGTCTATTTAGTCTTGTGTTTTGCTTGATCTGTTCATTGTTTTTGTAAATCATGTCAGATGTGATCAGCTCGGCCTTGCTGTCGTCCTGATATCAGCAGAAGAGCTCCTACACACCAGCAGCGCTGCACTGATAAAACTGCTGTGTGTTCTGTCACGTTTGACCGAATCTGTCGTAATGAAAGACTTTTGAATCTGCTGAACTTTTATGATTGTAAGGATTAAGTGTGACTGTTATTTTTATTTTTGAGTTCATGTCTGTCAAAAGTTTACCATTTTAAGACCTATTAACATACATGTGTTTTGAATATCTGAACAATAGTTTTCTGGGTGTTTAGAAGTGTCAGCATGACCATATGTTAAAACTATTGAGCTGTTTTTGATAGTGCCTCTAGAAAATGTGTTCTTTGTAGTGTTGCTCTATACATCTGCTGCTGATTTAAATTGCTTAATAACATAGCCAGAAATAGTGACTGAGGCCT